TCAACAACCAAAGCGCGCAACATATCCTATAGCGTCTGTATAGTCCGCTCTGTCTGTCCGTCAGTCTCGGGATGGTAGGCTGAACTGAATGCTAACTTCATACCCATCGCCTCGTGTAAACTCTGCCAGAATCTACTGGTGAATCTGGGATCTCTGTCTGACACGATAGTAACAGGTACTCCGTGGAGTCGAACGATCCCACGGACATAAATCTCAGCCAACCTATCCAAAGACATACTCATCGATACTGGCAAGAAATGAGCAACCTTAGTCAATCTGTCGACCACGACCCAGATAGCGTCGTGATGTTCAGACGACCTCGGTAACCCCGTGAAAAAATCCATCGCAACCTCCTCCCACTTCCACTTCGGAATCGGCAGTGGTCGTAGAAGGCCTATGGGACTCTTATGCTCGGCTTTAACCTGCTGACAGGTTAAACATCTTCTTACAAAGTCGGCTACGTCTTTCTTCAATCCTCGCCACAAAAATGACCTTTTCAGGTCATGATACATCTTTGTACTTCCTGGATGGGCTAGATATGGTGAAGTATGAGCCTCAGATAGAATCTCCTTTCTCAATGCTTCGACTTTCGGCACCACAATCCTGCCACGAAATTCCAAGGCCCCATAGTGCCTCGGTGAAAACCTTCGACGCTTCCGGCGCGAAACTTGGCATCAATCGTACGAATAAGCTCATCTGAAGCCTGCTCTTGTCGGATTCTCTCCCTCAGCGTCGTCTGAACCTGCATAGAACTCACACTCCCCGTACTGGCTGTAGGAAGTGCACCAATCATCTGAATCTGCATCCGGGCGAACTCCTGAATCAACTGACTCTGCGGAGTAACAACATATGTCAAGTCACCTTTCACCTTACGGCTTAGGGCATCAGCAACAACATTCTCCTTTCCCGGATGGTACTGAATCGTACAATCATAATCCTTGACGAGCTCTAACCAACAACGCTGTCTCATGTTGAGTTCCTTCTGAGTAAAGATATACTGTAAGCTCTTATGATCAGTAAAAATCTCGCATCGACCGCCGTATAGGTGATGTTGCCAAATCTTGAGGGCATGAACAACTGCAGCTAATTCAAGGTCGTGCGTCGGGTAGTTCTGTTCATGTGGTTTGAGTTGGCGTGAAGCATAAGCAACGGCCTGGCCATCTTGCATAAGTACACATCCCAAACCCTGCCTCGAAGCATCACTATAGATGGTGACACTTTGAGATGGATCTGGGATTGTCAACACTGGTGCCGTCGTAAGCCTCCTTTTCAGCTCCTGAAAACTCGACTCACAACGGTCTGTCCATTCAAACATTACAGACTTCCTCGTCAGCTGAGACAAAGAGAGGGAAATCTTTGAGAACCCCTCAATAAATCTGCGATAATAACCTGCAAGGCCGAGGAAACTACGAACCTCGGAAGGATTTTTCGGTGCTGACCAATTCTGAACTGCTGGAATTTTGGAAGGATCAACTTCAATACCTTCTTGAGTGGTAATGTGGCCAAGAAAAGCCACTCGCTGAAGCCAAAATTCTCATTTGGAGAACTTTGCATATAACTTCTCACGTCTAAGGGTCGAAAGAACAGCCCTCAGATGCTCCTCGTGCTTCTTCTGGCTCTTGGAATAAATAAGAATATCATTGATGAAAACAATAACGAACTGGTCGAGAAAAGGATGAAATACACGGTTCCTCAAGTCCATGAATACTGTCGGGGCATTACTGAGGCCAAACGGCATAACCACAAACTCGAAGTGACCGTATCTCGTACGAAATGCTGTCTTGGGTATGTCTGACTCCTTGATTTTCAGCTGATGGTAGCCTGAACGCAAATCAATCTTGGAAAACACACAGGCACCCCTCAACTGATCAAATAAATCATCGATTCTGGGAAGCGGATATTTATTCTTGATCGTCAACCGGTTAAGATCCCGGTAGTCGATACACATACGCATGGATCCGTCCTTCTTCTTGACAAAGAGAACGGGTGCTCCCCAAGGAGAAACACTCGGTCGTATAAAACTGAGATTCAACAACTCTTGAATTTGGGTCTTTAATTCCTGCAATTCTTTAGGTGCCATTCTGTACGGTGCCTTCGAAACGGGTCCGGCTCCAGAAATAAGATCAATAGAAAATTCCACCTGTCGGCTAGGTGGACCTCTGGGAAGCTGGTCTGGAAACACGTCCACAAACTCACGAACATTGGACTGTCATGAGGTGAGCGTGCCATTGGCTCATCTCCAACGAGGCTCACAAGGCAACCCTAGCAATCACCCCGTCG